TTCCTTAGAAACTAAAATATCAGAAATGACACTCTCAGCCTCCTTGATATGTTCATTAAAAGAGCTGAGAAGCATGAACCACTCCAACCCATTGGTGCCGAGATAGCCTGGTTGGAAGGACATTAGGCACAAGAGGTCGTTGAGTTCTATTCCCGCCAACCCCGTGTACAAAATGGTGACTGGTGCACTTTAATTACAATATTTTCCTAAAATAAGTCGGCAAGTTGCTAATATCCTAAAGAAGTTTGATTTTAATATTATTTTCAGTCCCATTAATAAGATAAAATTTTCTAATCTCAAGCAGCCCATTGACAGTCAAAGTAGCTGGGGTATATTCCAAATTAATTGCCAATGCGGCCTTTCATATATTTTATTTTATTTTATAACCGTCGTTGAACAGCCGACCCAATTTCATGGGTTTACGACTACTTACGTTCAACTCCGTAGCCTTGTAATTTTGAACCAATCCAGAAGACAAGGAAACTCCTGGATCAGTACCCCCAGAGGTATTGATTTGTTGTGGGAACATGGAGGACTTTGAGACTCGACAGATTTAACGTGCATCAGTCACCATTTACTACACGGGGAGTCTTCGGCCGGCGAGGATCGAACCCACGACCTCTTGGATATGGGCCCAGCGCCCTACCGACCAGGCTATCCCGACCCGCAAGTTTTAGTTTGTGGTTCTTTATCGTTTGAAAAAAAATATTTTGTCGAATATTGCATGCAGTTGGCATCTCTGCTTATAGAATTAGGAATACTATCGCCAACCATTTAAAAGTAGCCCCACGAGCTAACTGCAAGAAAGTTGTATTCTGGATGAGGCTTTGAATTTTTGATTCGTGCCTTAAAGTGCCGTGTCAAGGAACATGAAGCTTATGTCAAAAAACACGAATTTAAACGCTCATCTATTGCCCAACATTGTTGGGACTCTAATCATAATTTTAATTTTTCCTCCTCTAAAGTCATTCAAAATTGTTCTTCAATATTCGATTTAGATTTTTACGAGTCTTATCATATTTTCAAAAATTCCAAACTGTTGGTCAATGACCTATCAAGTGTTCCTTATAGTTCTCCTGTTTGGAAATCTATGATAAAACCTAACTAACCCCCCCCCTCTTTGTTTCCTTGCTTCTCATTCATCGTCTTCCGTTCACCCTTCCCTCCTATTGGCCGTTGCTCTAAACCCTCTTGTGACGTCATCTTTCTATATATATTTACTCTGTTCTCTCATTGTTTTCTGTTGCACTGATGAAGGTTGCCCTTTGAGCATCCGAAACAGCTGTCTGCTTTTAATAATATTTTTGTGCTCTTTGACGTTGTCTACCTTAGTTTGCACTCTAAATCAGTCGGGATAACTCCTAAAAGTTTTCATAACAAATTAATATCTATGGGGTCATCGTGGATTGATCGTATTCCGGCTTATGTCAAAATTACGATCTTCGGATGGTTGGCTGGTGAGTGAATATAAAACTGGCTACGACGTATGTGTGTGACAAAAGACAAATTCTTTTCCTAAGATGGCACCACTGGAAAACAAGATGAAACACTCCCATCTGCTTTAAAATATGCTTGCTAGTATTGAGAAGTGGTATACATCAACAACCCACTGAGGGCCGAGTTGGTATGGCACTGGGCTCGTGTCCAAGAGCTCGTGGACATCGATCCCCACAGTCCGAAGATTTCCCGTGTAGTGAATGGTGACTGATGCATGTTAAATCTGTCGAGTCGCAAAGTTCTCCATGTTCCCATAACAAGTCAATACCTCTGTGGGTACTGATCCAGGAGTTTCCTTGTCTTCTGGATTGGTACAAAATTACAAGGTTACGGAGTTGAACATTATTAGTCGCAAACCCAAAATTGGGTCAGCTGTTCAACGACAGATGAAACAGAAATAAAACAACCCACGGAGAGCCGTGATGGCTCAGGGGATAGAGCGTTTGCCTTCCAATGAGGTGAAACGGGCTTGCACCGACCAAGGAGCTGACGTGAAATATCCTCAGTTGTAGACAGATCATGGATGAGAGTCCCCTTGCCGTCGGACAAACCATGGGAGGTTTTCCTCTCCTTGTAAAGCAAATGCGAGTTAGTTCCATCAAAAAGTCCACCACGGAGGAAAATTTCTCCCAATACTTGATCCAGGAGTTCCCTTATCTTCTGGATTGGGTTCAAAATTACAAGGCTACGGAGTTGAACATTAGTTGTTGTAAACCGGAAAAATTAGGGTGGTTGTTCAACGACGGTTATAAAATAAAAATAAAGCATCTTGTAAAAACAAAGAAACAATGACCTTGGCGATCCCAGCAGCAGGAGTAGACAGATCACACAGATGTTCACAGACTTTTATGATGTTTCATAGATGAGCACTCGCTGGAGAACTCATCTATGAGCACACGAGAGATAAAATTTACCATAGGATGAAAGAATACATCACCATAGGATGAAAGGAGATTGTTTAGATTGGTTCGCGTTTAATTCAATTAGGCAAAAGATTTCATTTTCTTGCTGTTCTGAGCTTATTTCATTATTGTAAATGTTTACGTAATACCAGTAATAAGTTTTATTTTCATAAACTTATGACTCCAATAGAAATTATCACAAAAATTTAAATAGTATTCCTTTTGCACAATTAAAATAATTAAAAGAAATATTTATTGAGTAGTATGCATCATGCATTCTAGCAAAAACAAAACAAAATACTGTCTGCAGTCACAGTATTTATATTAACTGCAAATCAGGTCTTATAAGAACTTAACCACAGCAGTAGGGGAGAGTGGGGTCAATTGTAACAGGGTACGATTGTAACAGAGCAAAAATTTCGAGTGTCTGGTTCTAGATTTGGTTCCTAGGTAGCGCACAAGGTGTATTTAATAAATCTACACGTACACCCCTGCTGGCAACCATTTTTATGTACTTTTGAAAGAGTTACATCACAAAAGATATTTTCACGCTACGTAAGTACTTTTTTTGGTATTAGAATATTATATTGTAACAAAGTAATTTTGCTTAAACAAATAAAAATTATTAACCGAATATGTAATTGGACACCTTAATTAACATTTCAAAGGAAGAAAGATTAGTTTTGTTAATTAACTAGCATTGTTTTTAACAAATGAAGCTGAAATGGCGTCTTGGGGACGATTGTAACAATAAGTAAAGGGACGATTGTAACAGCTGAAAATAAATAATCTTATGTTTACAAACCATTACTTAACTCTTTAAGAACCACCAATAGTTTCCTATATCATTTATATTATGTTGCATGTGCATTATTTTATTTGTCACCTTTCACAGCATAAATTAAAATTTTTAACCCCTTAAAGTTAAAAGTTTAACCCTTTAGGTCTCTGCTCATTATTATTTTTACTCCTAAAATATCACTACTATTTTGATCAATAAAAAAATATATCACAACTATGATAATATGTATAATTAACTATGTTTTAGTTGAATTTATGAACTGTTACAATTGACCCCGTAAGTGGGGACAATTGTAACAAGTGCACGACTGTCAGAAATTGTTAATAATTAATATAATAACATTTAAAATAAGGTATTTATTCTTTTTTCTAGTAGAGGATAGTCTACTTTACTCGTCTGTCAATTAATACTAATAATATATTGGATTTTTTGTTAGCTAAAAATAGTTAAGTAAAAAATTTTACAATTGACCCCACTCTCCCCTACTGTTACTATTTTTCTTGCCACCAGTGTTTTTTTTAAAAATTCAGTGAATTCAATTGTTGTTTCATAATGAACAGCCATTTCTTCCATTTATTTATTTGAAATCTCAGGCTAAAAATACATCTAAAAACTAATGTAGTTATATATCTCGTTACAGTAACAAAATCAAAGGCAAATTTGTTATATAAAAATAAAGTAAAAAGCTAGCTTGTTTAAAGACAAAGGTTTCAGCAATTTTACAAAATCACGTTATCTCCCTACCCACAAATAGCGGTGTCATTTTCGACCAATAAAATGTAATTCATACCACCTAATTTCCCATAAGTAGTGATGTCATTTTCAACCAATAAAGTGTAATTCATACCATGTTCCTTCCCTTAAGTAGTCATGTCATTTTCGACCAATAAAGTGTAATTCATACCATTTTCCTTCCCACAAATAGTGATGTCATTTTCAACCAATAAAGTGTAATTCATACCATCTTCCTTCCCACAAATAGCAATGTCATTTTAGACCAATAAAGGGTAATTCGTATCATCTTCCTTCCCACAAATAGCGATGTGATTTTAGACCAATAAAGTGTAATTCATACCATCTTCCTTCGCACAAATAGCGATGTCATTTTCGACCAATAAAGTGTAATTCATACCATCTTCCTTTCCACAAGTGGCGCTCGTGGAGGGTCCCCCTCACAACCTGATGAGCTTTCACCAAACTGGAGGGTCTCCCCTCCCTACCTCTACCTCTCATTTACTTTTCAACACAGCTTATCCAGTCTAATAACACCTTCCTCATGCTTGGAGAAAGCTCTGCCCCCCTTCAGCCTAGGATATATCCTAGGATATATATGAGATATCCTAAGCATCCTCTAATTTTAATTTATTTCTTATTTTTGATTTACATATGTTTTATTTCACTTATCCGTATTTCACACACCCCACTAACCCGTTTAGTTTAATATATTCCTATAAAAAAAATTTCTTTTGATTTAACCTGTACTAATCTTGTACATGTTTTTGTTTTTTGTTTGTGTTGCCCTTTTTTTCTTTTCTCCACACTTTTCATTTTGTCCAACTAATTATCCACCTTTCTAATTATTCCTTTTAATTCATTCCTTTGAATTTGCAAATAATCGTCAATTAGTGAGATGGCCTGATACTCTTTGAATTATTTCCTTTTTTTCCACAATTTCAGAAGACCTTATCAAATAAAGACAATTAACTAATTAAAAAAAAATTATTCAGTACGTGATACATAAATCAAAATATCTAATAAATTGAGAGTTACAAAAATATTTCTCACAAACAAATTACAATTAAATATTTGTCATACTAAGGAAAATTATATTTATATATGCATTAGAAATTGCTTACAGCAAATACAAAATAAATTTCTTAACTAAACCAAATTTCAGTCAATTTATGGCGATGACGTATGCAGGTGTAAAACATAAATTTCCTTATGCCAACATCTTTTATAAATTATATTGATTTTAAACTTTATAGTCGAAGAAAAGTGTTGCCAGTGACTGAGTCCCATCTGCTAATTTCTCGTATACTACTCCTTTAGCACCATTGATAGGGTTAGTAAATACGACCATTGATATATTCCCTTGTTGATTCAGCGTAGCTGATTGTTGATTTACGGGTTCGTTAACAAGATTCGATGCAATGTCAAAGTATTGCTCTGGTGTCAACAACTTATCACCAAATTCAGAGTGTTTGAAGACATGGTAAATGGCTGCTGATTCGGACGCAAATTTGGGAACTGCTTTTGCATTAACTGGTAGAACAGTGCTCTTCAAGTTAGTGTACACCTCATCAAGAGCTTTGAAACTGTTCTCGCGGTTAGTTTTGAACTCATTGAAAACTTCGTTTCTAAAATGCTCTGATCTTTTACCCTGAATTCTATATTTTGCAAATACGTTTCTGTTTACGGGTCCATTAATTGTTGCTTCATCGAAAGCTTTCTGGTAATTTGCTTCTTTGTGGACTTTCAAATCATTCAAATACTTCGATGCAAACTCTACATAATTACTATAATCACCCGGAGTCTTGCAATGACGCATTTTGGCAAACTCGTTTGCTATTTCTAAGACTTTAGGATCATAATTTTTACCAGAACTTGTCATCACATTAGCCAATCTGTCCAATTCAGACGGCTTCATATTTTTAAAAATATTCTCTTTTCCGATTTTTACAGTTTCCAGGTTGTCCGTTTGAAATGCTCTTTTCAATTGCGCTATAGCCTCGCGCCTCTGGTATTGCATTTTAACGCGATTCTTTTGCAAAACTTTTTCAATACTTTTCCAGTACGCAGCATCGGTCATAGCGGAGTTTTTAAGTTTGTGAGAGGCGTCAAGAATTGCCCGACGATCCATGTCTGAGATTTGAACGAGTTTATTAGGAGCGATGTGAAGCTCATTGTCAATATTAATAAGACCAAGTTCTTCAAAGGAAAATTGTACCTGGTGTCCTTCAAGATCACTTCTAGCGGTCACAAGACTTTCAAAAAAAGCTTGTTTATCCCCAATATGATTAACTGCCTTGATTTTACTGGCGTTTTTATGCAACTGGGATTTTCCCTGGACTTGATCAGAGAGCTTGAAAAGTTCCTCTATCTGCTTCGGTGTTAGATTATCACAATATTGGTTTAGTACTTGTTTTTGGGTGTTCTTTATGATTCCTTTCGCAGTATCTGCATTCAGAAGACTATTCGAAAAGAAAAGGAAAGATGCAGAAAATTGGAAAACATCAAGAGATGTTAGTTCACCTTTATCTGCTTTATCAACTAATACAATGAAACCATTCAAAGTCCCCAGACCATTAACAGTTAAACTACCCACAGTGACGACATTATATGTGACACACAATGCTTTGGCTGCTACGTTTCCGGCTGCAGCTGATCGGGTAATAGTGGTACACATACTGCTTTGGGCCATGCCTAAAGCACTACCCACAATTCCAAGCCAAGCCATCCTTGATTCTGAATCACTTAAGCTAATACTTTGACCATGATTATGACGATCTACTAGATTCACAACATTTTGTGCGGCAAGATAGACCCCAGTACCTGTTGAAGTTACTTGTACAGCAACAAGAAGTGGGGCAGCTATCGGTACAGTTAATAAAGAAGCTACCATGACTGTAGTTGAAGCAAAACTCACTACAGTCGCTGCACCATTAAAAAAAGACCAAATTCTATTTTTTAGATCACATTCAGGAGATGTACCAAAGTCAACTAGAACTTGACCATTGTATCCTAGATACAAGCCATCACGCGGATAGCAATACATACATTTAGGTAAACGGTTTGAATCCAAATAATTTCGCCAGCTTTCATAGACACGACAATCTGAATCCACGAACAAGGTCTGGTTTTGTTTTCCTTTTACCTTAAACACGGGAATGTTAAACCGTTTCTCCCAAATTTTCCCAAACACGAAAATACAGTAAAATCGAATGATTCTGCTGCTGTTAGAATATTCCAAAATAGTATCGGCAATGCGTTTTATATTTTTAAACTGTTCTGGGTTGTACCCTAAGTTATTTCCATCTGGAAGATTTTCTGGTTGACCGTATAGACCAAATCCAACTTTACGTTGAAGAACTGTTTCGTCTGTCTTGTCCCACTCGTCCCAATGTCTATCTCCCAAACGAAGAAACATATTTTGTTGCAACGCGCGTGCTTCTTCCTTCCATGCTTGGACATCTGGTGCACCCCAATCTGACATGGTATCTAAACGACACTTTCACAATGACTACAAAAGTTTATTACGAACTACCACTCGATTGACACAAAGCCAACTGTTTTGAAAGATCAGCAGACAAAATATACGATTCACCAGTGTTTGTAACCTTTGCTTATACTGTGTAAATCTCTATTCTCAATCTTTACTGTCTAACTGATATCTGGATGGCTATTTTAGTCTTCCGATTGCTTTTGGCCCTAGCTACTCCACCACCAGTGACTCGCTGGAACTTGCTTTCTCTCTTGATCGGTTAGAGTTGGTTCATCCGATGTCTTATAAAACACATTAGGATCGAAAGAACTGTTCACGTTCTTGAACTGTTGGTCCCAACCTTCTACGTCTTCTGCGAGTTTGAAATTTTGAAGCGCAGCACCCAAAAAGTTCCCTTTACCGTCTGGTAACTCTTGATATTTCTCAAAAATAAACTCTAACCCAGATCTCGTTATTTTATAATTTTCTATATGGGCCTCGTCAATCTGATCTACACTACATGACACCCATGCACCAATGACATTTAGTGAATCAGCAATCAATGGTCCGATAATATTTCTTTCTCTCGCACTCAGTTCAGTTTTTGCTACTTCAATTTTGAAGACAGTCTCTAAAATTTTGTCAACCAAGCAAATGGTCTTTCGAAACTCAGAGCGTGGGATGAATTTGACAGTTTTCAAACTTGTTAGCAATTGAATCAATTCTTGAGGTGTACTCATACCCCTGAAACAGACAAAAAATATATTATTAATAAATTTGCAATTACGAGATATATCGATTTAGGAAATAATCGTTATTACTAATAAGTTGAACAATTAACTGTCCGCGATATATATTTGTTGATTTACCAAAATATAAAAGGTGTTTCAAAAGAGTCCCGTCAAACTTTGAGGATAGATCGAGCATACTGAAATAAATCACAATTATGCCTAAAAACAGGCCTAGTTAACGGTATGACACTCTATCAAAACAATTAAGATCCATTTCAGAAAAGAACAAAATTAATTTAAACTTAGATTTTTGACTTTGAAAGGTTAGAAACCAAGTAAATCTGCATTCTCTATTACTGTGGAAATGCTCGAATACCAACAAATCTTACCATTTAACCATACACAACGATTATTAAACGATCAGGCAACATATTTTATAAATGAGAGGATTACATGTTTTTAGGATGCATATTGTTCTGATGTGGAGGATTCTACTATAGTATGGTTAAATGTTTCTCAATGTGATATCAATAGTTTATCGGTGTAAAAATAAAGCCATCGTTTGTATGCTTCAATGAATGATGGAATAATGTCCCACACCTTATTCAACTCAAAAGAATGAACCATATACTTACTATACGAGAGCAATTTATCAGAGACTTGACCACTCTGCTCTCCACCCCTTTCCCTGGTAATATAGTTTTATTTTGTCCCATTCATTGCATTGTACACCGAACATATTAATATAATAATAATATAGGAGTATAATACATATTAATATAAACAAATATATTAGTTACGTATTTTTCTTAAATGCATATTGTTTCGGCTTTGGTAATAAATTCTTATGATATTTTCCTCATGCAAAACATGCCAAATTTTAGCAGATTTTCTTTCAAGTTTTGTATTTCTCTGATTTTTGTATTTGTTTTTCATCTACATACTCAAAAAGATCACCGATGCAGTTTTTGTAACACTTGCAGATTACGTAACACTTTTAAGCTCAGCAATTCTTTAAATATTTGCCTATGTTTATGTCATATTTTTTTTATATTTTTGTGTCATATTATATTTGTTATGTTATATTTTTTTTCTGGTATTTGTGTTTCTACATATAAATCCATACCTATCTCGACGTTCTGTTTCTGCCCATGTCTCCACGCACACTCCTTGGCCTATGGATGAAATCCATTCTCAGTCATAAATGATTCACCTCCCAGCAGTGCACAAGTTTAAGCCTAGACCACCAACCTGGGTTGCTAGCAAGAATTTTGGAATCGATGAATCATTGTTAAATCTTTTGATCAATTTGTAGTGCTTATTATATGGCGCTAGGCTATCCATCCTTGCAAATTTCTGTGCTCTAAGTTAGGCAGTAATTGTGTTGAACTAAACCGAGCTATTTGACCGATTTCGTTCCAATTTTATTTTTTGCTTTGCAAAATTACATCCATTAAAATAGTTTAAAACTTTTTTAACCTTAAAATTCAATATTTTTAAGAATATTATCTAATCAAACTCTAAAAAAATACTAAATTAAGTATGTAAATTATTTTTTTGCGTTTATCTTTGTATAAATGAATTTTATGATTGTAGGAAAAAAGCTGTCGATTCGCTTAAAAAAATCTAGAGATCTTGCGAAAAGTAAAATTGCAAAAGTAAAATTGATATGCGAAAAATAAAATTGACATTAAGGGGTCCAAACTTTAGACCGCTCTTTCGACCAAATTATTGGGATCAATTTCCCAAAATGCGGGAGGTGGGGCCTTATTTCTACTATATGTTTTGAGGGTCAGAAATCCAAATCCGTCGGGGGAAAAAAGTATGTTTATTCAGAGAAATTACGTTTTTATGTCTGATTCCGTAACTGAAAATACTGTCTACACTAATTAATAAGCATATTTGAGGTCATAGTTTGTAACCAGTTAAATTAAGTTCTAAAACGCGACTTTATTAAATATCATTAAATCCAAAGTTATTGATAAAGGTTCGTTTTAGTTTTTTAATTTATTTTTTATTTTATTTATTTATCTTTGCTCGCGCGCTGTACATTAAGGATTAGGGGAGCAACAGGAACTTCTGCCATATTTTAAGCAAGATCATAGCAAATTAGAAAATGTTTTTAAATGCACTAAAATTACATCTCTATTAATACGTTTTTCTTCACTTAAATGTCAACTAGGAGACTTGATTAACCTTTGCGTATAAAATAGATTTTTATTTTTAAAAAAAATGGAACGTTAAAATATCAATTTTACTTTTAACAGCTTGAAGTACTTTTTGTTGTCAAAGTTGCAAAAAGTGCAATAGTTTGAAAAAAATTATTCAAACTTCCTGAAGCTGATTTTCTTTCCTCTTTCGATATTATTAGAATAGTAAAAAGCACACAAAATTTTAATTAAAATAATAAAATCACTACGAGCGATTTTTTAAAAAATTGTGACGAATAATCGGATTTAAATGGGAAAGTAGTAAGCATAATATCAAATGTTTACAATGGTAAATGAGTTTTTGAAATTATTTTCTTAAATAAAATGAATTAAGATTTTTTTTCGAAGAATATTTGTGATATACTGAATTGAAGAAAACAATTGTTGTGGGAGGACTAACTCTCATGCATGTTAATTATAAAAGAACATAAAGAATAATTATATACTGGTTTCATTTTCCAGTGAATAATGCAGTCGTGATTTTATGGAGAAATCAAAAATGACATCTCAATAACAATGACAAAAACATCTCGCCAAAATCACTTATAATTTCTGAAAATTTAATGAAAAAAAAATTTTTTTTCTGTGGTTTTAATAATGGATATAATTACAAAAAACTAAGAACAAAAGCAAGTAAAACAAAACCGCATGACACGTGACTAAAAATCTTGAACACCAGAAAGCATTTGAAATTTTTCGTATCTCTGGACAGTCTTTAGAAAGGACTAAGAGAAGAAATAAGCGCACTATTTAAATAACTGGGGCAGTCATCTATTAACAGAATAAACAAATATAAATAGTGCACACTAATAAATACACTGTTAAATATATTGAGTGTAATTAAGTAAACTCAATTTATTTAATTCATACTTCAGTTAATAACAACAAATGTTTTAAAACATTTTTTGTTATTAATTGAATAAAAGAATGTGAAAACAAAAAACAGTGATGATACATACGTTTTGATAATGATACATACGTTTGACAATTGGAAGTGAAATAGATGTTAATTCCGTTTCGATAGCCTTTTTAGTTACATTATCCGATATGTAAAATAAAGTCACAGAGAGAGGAATAAATATTTATGTCACAGGTGAGGAATGATGCATTCATTATTATCATTCAATGTAGAAATATTTATGATATCAAATTATAACATTCTTTAATGATACATTGATAAATCAATGAAAGATTATCTGCCTGCCTTTTACCTGTCTGAAAGTAGTTTTCAAAAGATAACGTTTCGAAACTATTGTTTCTTTGATAACATATCAACTGATTCATTTGATTAACACTCTAAAATAACTGAATAATTTAAAACAGAGTTAAAAATACGAAGAAAACAAGGACAAATTTATATTTTTAAAGAGAAGAAAAAGAATTATTAAAATAGTGTTTCTTTTTTAAAAAAAACATTTAGAAATTTCAAAAAATTAAAAAAAAAAAATTCAGTAAATTTGAAAATGAAATAAGGAAAAGATCTAATCTCGCCAGCAGCTTACATCATTATATCGTAAAAAAAGAGTGATTTCTATTTTTGTATTAATATAACCAAAGCAAAATATAATTATAAAAGTGTGAGGAGCACCAAAAATATTTTTTATAAAACAATTTATTATCATTTTTCTTAATGTTCTTTCCTTAATTTTCCGCTTTTTTTTTTCTCATTCGTCTTTTAGTTTTATATATATATATATATATATATATAGATAGATAGATAGATAGATATATGTACGTAACTTACAATAACGTCTGCTCTAACGAAATAGTATAATTGAGGTCTTCAACCCATTAAGATTGCATATACTAGCACGTAAAAATTAGATTAAAAAGAGTGCTTCGTTTATTTATTTATTTTCGCGTAATGAACAAAACTGTCTCTGTTTTTTCACAATGATCGGGATTTAAAGATTATTCCAGGTAATTTGTTATAAATCGGGGACAGTCCATAAATGCTTGAAAGGGGTGAAATAGATTGAGACAAGAGGAAGAAAGAGGGTTAACAAGAAGTGTGACAACGCATTTTTCGGCTAAAGTCGTTGACAGGTCGACCCAATTTTGTGAGCCTACGACTACTANATATATATATTAGACAAAGAATCATTGGCCCATTAATCTAGAATTCGCTCAGATCCAAACGAAAAAAAGGTAAATTCCAAGTGGAAGTAGTGTGTAAACGTAAATACAACAATCATTTACAAAAAAACGGCTCTTATAATATTAAAATCGAACAAAACAAATTTAATTAGCATTTATTAGTTTCAAACAAATTTAAATGGTATTTATTAGTTTCAAAAAAAAAATTTGAGCTTTCTTTATTTTTCAGTCCTCAACTAGCATGAAAAGTTAATTCTCTACACAATATAATTTTCATTTTAATAATTCTTATTAAAAATGAAAAGAAAGAAGTATACTCATTTGAAGTCCTAAAGAAACTCTTATGCTCAAAATACAAAAACGTTATTGAAATCTGCAAAACTACATTTTAAAAAAAGCGAAGGTATTACGTACATGAAAATGTGTTTAATCAAAATGTGTTTAATTTCAGGGGGAAATATGAAGGTGTTTCTAATAAGCATCTTTCATATTTTATGTCTCCTCCAGCAACCAAACATGTTTAGGTGCTTCATTCAGCTGCCTCCTTCAAATGTGATTTCTCAAATTTCAATATTTTTTCGTTTTATTTCCTAAAATATTTAAAATTTTAATCATCCCCCATGATAAGGAATTTAAAAAAAATAATTATGGGCGGTATTTATGGAATAAATGGTTTATGTAAATATGAAAAAAAATTTTACAAATAAAATTTCAGAACTCATTCAAATTTTGAAAAATGCAAATTTGATTTTAACTCTACGAAGATTAAGAGGTCAAAGTATCCTTAGAACAATTATTATTTTTTTTATGAATAAAATTTAAAAAAGAACACCTTTTTATTTGCATGACGTGCTCACTTCAATGAAAATCAATTATGTTTTTCAAATTAGTAATATAACTCAAATTTCTTAAAAATTCAAAAAGTGCAATCCCTCAATTTTTAATTCTTTAAATTGCTGCAATATTTTTGGAGAAAGTTTTTTTTCCTGCAATATGTGCCCTACAGAAAATATGCTTCATTTGCTTTAATATTTTCTATGCTTCTTTTCATGAAAATTGGAAAGAAAAAGAATTAAAAAAAATTCAAACTCACGGATATAAATAACATGCTGTAAAAAGTTCCACAATTTTAAAAGTGCTTATTCAATACACAATTTTATTTTAGACTGATTGTGAGAAAAAACATTTACCCTAAAGTTCGATCTTCAACAGAAAAATAATTCCTACGAATTCAAATAACATCTAAACATTACAAAAGCACGCATGTAAAAAAGTTTCGTTTTTGCTTGAAAAAACTCCGTATTTTTTCCATTTAAATTTATCAAGTCTAGAGCATTTTTATTTTCAAAACTTTATAATCAATGCAAATTCCTTTCTCTACCTAGGTAGAGAAGGGAATTATTTTTAGTGAGTTTGGAATTATTTTAAAATTTAATGTAGGCAATAAATTATTTTTCAATACATCTGCTTATAATTGGTTAATGTGACGCCTCAAAATTAAATTAAGGAATCTAATAATTTATTCATAAACAATCATTTAAGAGTTCATAAGGTTCGAACAAGGAATTTATCTGCGTCAAAAAGAATCATGCTAAATGAAGCATGAACAACAGTTTCATTAAAACTCATTTAAAATTATTACACAAATAAATTTAAAGGATTTAAATTTCTATTTTTTATTATTGTCAGGGAATTTTCAGCATTCAAGTAAAACATTTATGAAATTTAAATCAAATAATAGTACACTATCAATTAAGAATCAATAAGCTTCAAGTGTCAATCTACATTGTTATTGATTTTTTTCTTTCTTTTGAAAATAAAATTAAACTCTTTGCTAGTTTTTTTTTTTTTAAATAATAAAAATTTCTGCTCTTTAATAACATCTGAAATGGGTTTTTTTTTTCAAGAATAGTTTTATATTTGGTCAGAATTTATAAATATTTGCACAAAACAAATGATGTTTTAATTTATTTTATTTCATCACCAAAGGTTTAACAAAATAATGAATGTCTTACTAATTTAATGTTAAAACATCCGCTAACAAACACTAAACAGCACTCAAAGCATTTTAATTCTTAAATACGACTTTTTTTATTATGCAATCAAGAAGCTTATTATAAAGTCTGGAGAAGAAAAAAAACAAATATGAAAAGTTGAATCACATTTACTCGGCTATTGGTTGCTACTTGGTAAATGTCGCGTTTAATTGAATGCATCCATTTTTTATATTAACTCGTTTTTGGATAATTTGTAAACTAAACTTTAGAGCCATTTTTATAACTACCTTCGCATTTCAGTACTGCACATGTAGATGACATGCTTAAAATTTATATAATAATAAATAAGAATTTAACCGACGGTCAAACAAAGCTGTTGTCCATTATTCAATGACAAATATTTATAATTGGCGGTCACTCAGTAAAAAGCTTCTGTTTGTGACTTCACTAAAAGACCTTGGTGATTTCAACGACCTCATTTCTAGGTGGTTATGGAACGATACCCGTAAAATTTTACTCCTTGCATCCACGATTGATTAGCTAGAACAGCTGTTCCCAAAGGGTATTCCGTGGAACCCTAGGGCTCCGTGGAACAGTAAAAGAGGTTCCTTTTTATAACCAGTGATGATTGAAACCTCTGATTATATTTAGATCCAATCTGTAATTCATATTTTATTTAATCTTTCGGTTGCCTTTATAAAATTACTTCAAGTAAAATGCAGATGAAATAAGCGACATTTTTTAAAAAGAAAATAGTACATATCCTATATTAATATATTGAATAAATTATGACAAAAACAAGTATTTTTATTTTTATAACCGTCGTTGAACAGCCGACCCAATTTTATGGGTTTACGACTACTAATGTTCAACAACGTAGCCTTGTAATTTTGAACCCCATCGAGAAGACAAAGGAACTCCTGGATCGAGTATTTAGAGAAATTTGCCTTCGTAAAAACTTTTTGATGCAGCTTACCCGCATTTTCGTTACTTGGGGAGGAAGACCACGAGAGCCTCTCATGGTTAGCCTGACAGGCAAGGGGCTCTAAGCCATGATCCGTCTTCCACTGAAGATATTTCACGTCAGCACTGTGATCGGTGCAAGCCGGATGCGGAATTCATATCGACTGGGATTCGAACCCAGTTCGCCTCATTGGAAGGTAACTCAAAAATGAGTATTTTATTTTACTTTGTTTAGTAACCGTCGTTGAACAGCCGACCCAATTTTGGGTTTACGACAACTAATGTCAATTCCGTAGCCTTGTAATTTTGAACCAATTCAGAAGACAAGGAAACTCCTGGAGCAGTACCCCCAGAGGTATAAATTGTAATGGGAACGTGGGAGACTTTGTGACTCGACAGATTTAACGTGCATCAGTCACCATTTACTACACGGGGAGTCTTCGACTGGCGGGGTTTGAGCCCACGACCTCTTCTCTTGGACAAGAGCCCAGTGCCCTACCAACCAGGCAAAAAAACCATTCAAATGAAGTGAGTGACATTTGTTTAAAAGAAAATAGTACATTTCCCATATTAATATATTGAATAAATTATGACAAAAACAAATACAATTTGTAAAATATTGGGTTAGCATTTTTTTATATCGTGCTTTTCAAATCAAAATAAAATACCTAGATTTTTTAATAAATAAATATGTTTTGCTAATAATAATTTGCAACGTTTACAACAGATCTTATAAGTTCTCATTTTGAAGTAAACCATAATTCGGCTTATTTTATTCATTTTCAGATTTTAAATATACACTAAAAGCAAATTTATAACTAGACCAGATGTAGCACAAGGACTAGGGTGAACAAATGGAATTATTTATTTCTCGAAATTTCTCTGTACATTTTGACCTGACAGGAGTAGGAAAAAATATCGAAACATTTTTATACTAATTCTATGTAAACAATCCTACTTGCATGCCATTCGCATATGTGATTACACGTCAATGTGATTCATGCATGCGCGAGAAGCACAATGCAATCACATATGCAATATGAAGGATCCCTTATCAAGACGCTGCGATTACTGACATGGATAAAAATCAATAAAATTAATAGATAATTCTCAATTTGACACATATTT